ATGAAATCAATAAAACACTCAACGGAAGCATTAAGATTATAATTATCATAAAAAAACGATAAACAATCTGCTGCGATTCCTTGATAAAAAGGATAAAATCAGTTACTTTCTCTTGCTATAAAAGAGAGAAGAAAAAGATGAACATGTAAAAAAGAAACCATTAAAAAATAACACTGAGCTTAAAATACAGAGATGAAAAAGGTAAAAAAATGCATTCGCAGCAGATGTGGATGTCCCCGTTATCCGCACATCATTTAAATCATTGGAAAAGATATGTGGATTACGAAAGGATTTCAATTGTAACCTTATTCACAATAGGTACACGTGTAAATCAGAGTAAAGTACTCGTAAAATAAAGCATAAAACAAAGATAAAAAGAAATGTAGAAATGAGGCTGGCAGAGGTAAGTGGTCTGCATGTCCTCGATTCGCAGGAGAAAATAGGGTTAAAGGTAGAATGTAGAAGTAGAAGGAAGTGAAAAAGCGAAGGAACAAGAAGAGGGTGCGAATAAGAGGGGTACGAGGGGAATCGCAGCAGGATACAGGGCAGGAGAGGGATAGGATGGAAGCAGGATAGGAAAGGAATAGATACAAATAGTAAAACAAACAGGGAAAACAAGTAGAAGGGAGAGAAAGAAGTGGAGAAGCAGAGGGGATTGAAAAGATGGAAGAATGAGATGAGAGCGCGAATGATTAGGGCAAGGAAAGAGGAGGGGGGGGGGGGTGATGAGTATGGTCTGTAGGGGGGGGGGGAGATTGAAAACCTCACTCTGGTTATGGTTTAGTTTCAAGCCCTTATTTTATTTTACTTAGATTCTTCTCCCCCACTCCTATTCGAAATTACAATAAACCTATGGTTGGTATTAGAACAATCTCACGCACAGTCACTCCTCACCAATCCTGTTATGTTTTGGCACCGAGCTGGAGTATCCTCTCTAGGGGGAAGGCTTGGGCAAAGTTGATATGGAAGATAAGCTGTTGCCCATACAGCAGGTCTCCGCTTCTCACATGACCGATGTAACCCAAGGGAAAGACAAGAGCCCAGGCTACTTGGCACTAGTGCTGTCACAGGAGTGCCGTCTTTAGAGACCCGATGTGGGGGCTCTAACATCTGGTACCAGGTAAACGCAGTGCATTGTTTTATTTTCGGGGTAAAAAATCATCACTGTTCATGTCAAAATCGAATCATATATACACCTTCGTTTTATATACTTTTGGAGGATTTCATTTTATCTTATTATCAAAACATCATAAGACACCTTTGTTTTACTGTAGGCTTTACACCTTACACTGTTGCATCCATCTACCTTTCTCCACATAATTTTAACATATATGATTTAGAACATCTACTTGGGCAGTTGCCTGATTCTAATCGGCATCACCTCTGGGAAGACACTGAAATCCTTGTTCTTAAGAGTAGATGCAGTTTTACTGAACATTGACACAACCACACATTTCCAAATTCAAATTGGGACATTCTACAATATTGACTTGTCAGTTGGTTCACCTGATTCACAACTGGATTTCACTTGGCAGGTCATGGAACACTTACATGGAAGCAACCACTTTCTAATAATTCTGGAGAAGGTGAATGGTATTCCAGCCAATTGAGTGCAGAGATGGCGACTTGAATATGTAGACTAGAATCTTTTTAGATCAACAGCAGTAATGCAGGGATTTGTGCATGATTTCCATTGTGTTCGATATGCTTTTACATCATTCCACATCACGAATTCACCTTGGAGCATCCATTCCAAAAAGTAGCTGGCAGTATCATCGATCTCCGGTACCATGGTGGTCTAGCAAGAAAAGCTATGCCCCAGTGATGCGATCCATTATAAAGACTCGATCCAGGGCAAGGCGAGTGCTAAAGGAGGCTAGACGGACGTAGTGGAGACACTAACGGCCGTTTCTTTATTTTAGGTAAAATTAATTATCAAAAGTGTTAAAACCTGTCTGTAATACTTAACCATTTGAAGTTAGAACATAAATCAAACAGATAAAATTAATATTTACTAAACATAAAAGACTTACAATTACGTTTTTAATACTAAAATAAAGGAAAAGCAAATAAACCAATAGTAATGAAACTGATACAAAACAATACATAAGAGATTAAAAGAGTTAAAGTTAAAACATTCATAAAACAAAACTTTAGAAAAAAATACAATAAAACAAGAAAAACAAGAAAGACGATAAAAAAGGATAAAAACACGTGGTCACACTGGATTCGCTCTCGTTGTGAGGGACGGCACATGAACTTATTATGTTTTGTGTGACTAAGCTAAAATAGGTCAATACAGTATCAAAATACCTGTACCAGACTTACCCATCAGCGAGGAACCTCCTACCCTAACTGAGGTTGGGATGGCAATTTCCAAACTGAAATATGGGAAAGCCACAGGCATATGTGATATCCCTGCTGAACTGCTAAGGGCTAGGAGTGAACCTATGGCATAGGGCTTGCATGCAGTCTTGACTACCATTTTACATTCTGGTACCATTCTCCCTGACCTGTTGAGGGGCGTGGTCACATCCCTCTTTGGAAGGAGAAAGGAGATCGTTGCAACTGTAGCAAGTACTGTGGCATTACACTGCTCTGTATGCCAAGCAAGGTTTTCTCCCACATTCTCCTGAAACAGATCCGTGACCACCTACTAAGGCACCAGAGACTAGACCAGTCGCATTCAGTGTCATCCACCATCGTCGTGTTTTGCTGGTGACCTAATGATGTGGACGCATTATGTTCAAATCCACATATACTGTAATTATACTTAACCAAGTGTGCATATACACATCCGTACAAACACATCTATATCAATACGCACACGCGAGCTCACACACACACACCTACATACGCACACACACAAATCAGAGAAAAGATAGCTTATCTGATAACACATTTGTGAATTTTATGGCTACTCTTTGTTCCCAGTGAGTTCGTAAGTGTTCTTATTTCATGTAGAAAAATATTTTCATTCTGTAGTACTTGAAATAATGTTGCATTATTTATTGTCATGAGTATATGTATATATACATACATACATATATATGTATGTTTGTACGTAGGTAAATTATCTATTTACATGTATATGCTTGTTTTTATTCTGCTATATACATCATCACATTATTTAACTAAATCCAGTGGATCATAACAAGAAACCCAAACCCAAATGTTCCTATATTAATTTAAAAAATAAATAAATAAATAAAAATAAATGTCACGTGACCTATAGTAGGAACGTTTTAAATTTTTGCTTCCCTAATTGACCAAATCTGGATATTTCTTTTAACCAAAACTGACAGAAAGCAGGATTATATAAAGCAATGAAGGAGATCATTTTCCAGCTTTCTGTACTTTAAACCTAGACTTTTATCATGAACCCTAAAACCAACAAGACATTTTACTTTCGCGACTATAATGAATCCCAAATGAGCAATTCTAAAAGTCACCTAAATGAAGTATGTTTGGGACTTCGTTTGCTTCTCGTGATCCCGACGTTGCCTATGAAAAAATATTGGACTTTTTTATCTCTTTTACCTCTCTTAAAGGAAGTTTCCCATAGAAATCTACGTCACTGAAACCCAAAATGCTTATAATATATCTCATAATCGAAATAAAGAACTTAATGAAGATAAAAAATAATCTTCTTACGGCGAGATATGTCGGTCGCTACACAACCGCATGTAAACAAACAATTCGAAATGCAGTCACAGATTATTTCAAATTGATACAAAAGAAAGAACGGCAAATTCTAAAAATGTTTTAACTGGGAGAATTTTTTTTTTAGACAAATCACAAATTAACGACAGGGAAATCAGTGACCCCATTATTATTACTAAGTCAGCAAACATATTTAAGTATGGGGAAAACTTATTACTGTTAATCCTTAATGCAGACAGCGACTTTAATTAAAGAAATAAATTTACTTTGAACATTGAGAAGACATTATATAATGTTCTACAGAAATAAAGACAGGCCTATTGCTCTGCCTTATATTACCATCACAGATGTTCCAATCAGAAGAGATATGCACACTAGGTCCTTGGTATTCATAGTGGTTTTCTCTTAAACTGGAAAACTCACATGGACAATGTACTATTTAAACTAAATGTAAAAAGAGGACTTAATTACCAATTACGAAAATAACCCTAAATGCCCTACAACAAGTATTCTATTTATTGGCTCCTCCACATTTTACGTATGAGCAAATTATTTGGGGACACACACACACATATATATGTGTGTATATATGTGTGTATATATACACACACACAAGCACAAACACACACACACGCACACACGCATATGTGTGTATATATATGTATGTACACACACACATAGACACACGCCCATATATGTGTATATATATGCATGTATACACACACACGCAAACACACACACAGATATGTGTGTATATATATGCATATATACACACACACACGCACACACACACACAAACAGACACACACACACACACACACACACATACACACACACACACACACATATAGAAATGTGTATATATAAGTAAGATATATTCATATATATACATATATATACACACATATATATACATATATATACATACATATATATACATAATATATATATATATATATATATATATATATATATATATATATATATATATATATATATATATGTATGTATATATATAAGATATATGCATATATATATATATATATATATATATATATATATATATATATATATATATATATATGTATATATATATATGTATATAAGATATATAAATATAGATACATATATATATATACATTAAGATTAATATATATGTGTATATATATATGTATATATATATATATATATATATATATATATATATATATATATATATATATATATATTCAAGATATATGCATATATATAAGATATATAGACATATATAAATATATATACATATATATATTAATATACATACATACATACATATATGTATATGTATATATATATATGTATATATATACTTATTCATATACATGCAGAATGCATAATGTAAGATATATAAGATATATGCATATATACATATAAATATAAATATTCATATAAATATATATTACATATCTATTATATGTGTATGTGTGCATATATGTATATATATATATATATATATATATATATATATATATATATATATATATATATATATATATATATATATATATATATAAATATTTATATATATGTATGTATATAAATAAAAGAGGGAGAGAGAGAGGGAAAAGGAGAGAGAGGGGGGGGGGAGCAAAGAGGAGAGAGAGAGGGAAGGGAGAAAAGAGGAGAGAGAGAGGAAGGTGAGAAAGGGAGAGAGAAACTCTCTCTCTCTCTCTCTCTTTATATATATATATATATATATATATATATATATATATATATATATATATATATATATATATATGTAAAGAGAGAGAGAGAGAGAGAGAAAGAGAGAGAGAGAGAGAGGGGTAGGGAGGGAGAAATAGAGAGAAAGAATTAAAGAGTGGAGAGGAGGAAGAAAGGTTCAAAGAGACAGGGAGGTAGACAGAGTGGAGAAAGACAGAGAGAACGAGATGGAGGGGTAAGGGAGAGAGAGAGCTAGAGAGAAATATTTGGCAACTCTGTTTGAAATGAGGTGTGAGAAAGTTTTTCCGTTATTCATTCACCAGCCAATCAGCATTCATGAACAATGACTACAAACATGTTAGACTTCCATACACTACCAAAGACGGCTTTCAATCTAATCCAACTTGGACTGGATCTTGTCGTTATCTTCATCAAGGGAAAGCCTGTTTTTCCTCTCATCAAACCCATGAGGCATTTCCTTAATATGTTCATTGTCCTCAGACCCACAAGGAAGGCTTCTTGTCCCTCTTACTGCCCTCTCCACTCGCCTTCTGACTTCTGGAATCGTCATAGCAACCTGCAGATGATCCATGAATGAATTTGTTTTTTATCAGACTGAAAATGACACTTTGGTTCTCTCTCCTGGCTCCGGAGGAAGTTTCCTTTTCCTCTGATTTCCCCCATGAGGTAGTTCTCCCACATGCTCTTTATCATCTGACTCATGAGAAATTGCCCTCTCCGCTTGCCTCCTGGCTTGTAGAAGTTACGTCGTTGGCTCAGTAATCCGTGTGTGTGTGTGTGTGTGTGTGTGTGTGTGTGTGTGTGTGTGTGTGTAAATGTAAATGAGTATTTGGGACATTTAGGAATTATAATTCTAAATTCATATATATACATATATATATATATATATATATATATATATATATATATATATATATATATATATATATATATATATATATGTATGTATGGATATATATGTATATATATATATATATATATATATATATATATATATATATATATATATATATGTATATATATATGTATACATATAAATCTAGAATTATAATATATATATATATATATATATATATATATATATATATATATATATATATATATATATATATATGTATATATATATGAATATAAATAAATACATGATATATATTTACCGCTCTATGAATCCGAGAAATCTGAAAATAGGCAGTGGTGTACAAGAACAGAGAGTAAGGGTAGGAATAAAAGAGAGAGAGGGAGAGAGAGAGAGAGAGGAGAGAGAAAGAGAGAGAGAGAGAGAGAGAGAGAGAGAGAGAGAGAGAGAGAGAGAGAGAGAGAGAGAGAGAGAGAGAGAGAGAGGAGAAAAAGAGAAAGAGAGAGAGAGAGAGGGAGAGAGAGAGGAGGGGGGAGGACGAGAAAGGGAGGGCAAGAGAAAGGGAGAGAGAAAAAGAGGAACATAGACTACTAATACTAGACATCTCTCGCTCCGGATAAATATGATAAGAGTCATATTGATGACAGCAATAATTCCACTATCCTTATACATACCTGTAATAATAATGATAAAAATAATAATATATATGTTTGTGTGTCTATAAGCTATGCTGTGTTCATTCTGTCAACCACGCTATTCTAAGAAACACTTTTTCCCTCATATACACATTTACGGCTATACACAATACCCCTGCTCTCCCTGGGGTGAAATTTCCTCCTCTGAAGATTACAAGGAAGAGAAAGAGAAGGAGAGTGAGAGATAGAGCTCATGACGATGGATGCACTGCAAATGACTTACAAATGTTCTTGTATGTTCTTCTATACTTTATTCATACATAGCACAGGTACATGAAAAAAAGTCTGAAAACATGCTCAACTTTATTCATACAAAGAAATTATACATAACATCATGGTAACGTTTATATAGTATTTACGAAGTGTATTTAGAATAGTATCATTATTATTAATAATATTATTAATGTGGTAATCCTCTGTACCCAAAATATTCTGTGGGTACAGAGAATTACGGCCGTTATAGGAGAATTAGTGTGCAGGGTTGTCAATCCAGTAATATCTATAGCTTTCCTAGTAGCCTACCCTATGATATAGCAATGAAGTAGTCATGGGAAAATCGGTAGGGTACGATGTCTGACCGGGAGACTATGATGTCCGAGTCAGTAGGTGATAGATACCAGAAATGACAGGATAATTGTTTATATGGTATCGTTTACAGACATATATTTTTTATCGTTTAATCGTTTAATTAAAGCACATGTGATATAACTAAACAAAATTGCGTTAGACTGTGACCCACAGAGTAATAACAACGAAAATATAAAACAGAATGTTGCTAATGGCATGGAACGCTTGTTGAGTTTACGAAGATTTTGAGATACCCCAAGAGGTACATGAAAGCAAATATCTTTACAACAGTTATTGGTATTAATATTGATGACGTCAACACACTCACAAATCCTTGAGCAGGGTAGTGCAAATGTATTCTGACAAGTCTGTGGACAGTCACGAAACCAGAAGAATAGTTACTCCATGGGATTATTTTTATATGCTCGCAAAAATAAGCTTTCAAATGAAATAACAGTTGTGGCATCACAGTTTCGGAGCCAATCACGAATTAACCAGTCTCAGTAATTCATAGGGCATCCGGTAACCACGATAGCTCTGGTATAACTGCTAGTTCGGTCTTTGAGTTTGGGAAGACGGGCAGGACGGCGGTTGCAGGGCCAGAGGATCACACATTTGTATAGATTTTTTGTCGTTTATTACTGTAATTTCTTTCATCTTGCATTATATATATCTTCCTTTTGTTAAAATTTCCAGAGACTGAGGGTGATACGTTACTCTCGCTTTGATTGTAATTTGAATAGATTTTTTGTCGTTTATTACTGTAATTTCTTTCATCTTGTATTATATATATCTTCCTTTTGTTAAAATTTCCAGAGACTGAGGGTGATACGTTACTCTCGCTTTGAGGGTATAATTCTCCTTCCCGTCGACTCACAGGTAGAAGGTTCGGTACATGCTCTCCTCTCTTTCTTTCTCCCTCCTCCTCCTCCTTCTTTTTCTTCTTCTTTTTCTCCTCCTTCTCCTTCTTTTTCTTCTCTCTCTTCTTCTTTTTCTCCTCCTTCTTTTTCTTCTTTTTCTCCTCCTCCTTTTTCTTCTCTCTCTTCTTCTTTTTCTCCTCCTTCTTCTTTTTCTTCTTCTTTTTCTCCTCCTTCTCCTTCTTTCTCTTCTCTCTCTTCTTCTTTTTCTCCTCCTTCTTCTTTTTCTCCTCCTCCTTTTTCTTCTCTCTCTTCTTCTTTTTCTCCTCCTTCTTCTCTTTCTTCTTCTTCTCCTCTTTTTCTTCGTCTCCTTCTTCTCTTTCTTCACCTCCTCCTTCTTCTTCTCCTTCTCCTTCTTCTTCTTCTTCTCCTTCTTTTCCTTCTTCTCCATCTTCTTTTCCTTCTCCTTCTTCTTCTTCTTCTTTTCCTTCTTCTTCTTCTTCTTTTCCTTCTTCTTCTTCTTCTTCTTCTTCTTTCCCTTCTTCTTCTTCGTCTTCTTTTCCTTCTCCATCTTCTTCTTCTTCTTCTTCTTCTTCTTTTCCTTCTTCTTCTTCTTCTTTTCCTTCTCCTCCTCCTCCTTCTTCTTCTTCTCCTTCTTCTTCTTCTCCTTCTTCTTTTCCTTCTCCTTCTTCTTCTTTTCCTTCTCCTTCTTCTTCTTCTTCTACTCCTTCTTCTTCTTCTTCTTCTTCTTCTTCTTCCTCCTCCTCCTCCCGTTCAGGTAACGGGATATTTGGATGACCATACCCGAAGGACGTGTACGCATCCACGTAATAACGTTTATCATCAAAACAAATTATTCCCTCTTTTCTGTGAGCAGCGTCCTCCAGCACTTCTTTGAAAATCGAGTGAGTTTTGCGTTTTTCCCTGCTGTCTATCCCCTGGACGTAAGTCTTATTTAAAATGCCATCTTCCATCAGGAGAGAATATGTTTTTGCTATCGGAGCAATAACTTCTCGTATTTTTTGGGAACCCACCTTACTTTTTATGAATCCGAGCTTACCCGCATGTGTCATGTCGTGAAGAGGGTGGGAGGGATCAAAATTCGACCGGTCTAGATACATATTCAGAGGAGAAGAGGATATTTCTCTTTGAATGTCATCTGTTTTCAGACTGAAGATAAAAGAACCGGTATCTGTGTATGCTAGCTGAATACGGTCTCCATATTTGTTTTTTATCTCTTTGTAGAAATTTCTCATTTCATATTTAGCATACTCAAGAACCGTAAATCCTATCTCAATTATATGTCCGATAACCGGGCTTGCTTTTACGGCAATAGGCAGATTTCCCTCGTACAGACACTTAAACGACGGATTACATATCATATTCAGCAGTTTATAGGCAGAGTTAACAATCGAAGTAGTCTCTTTCCATTCTTGCTCACAGTATACAAAGTTTTCTAACAGGGCATCATTGAAGAGTTTCATCACCGACTTCGTCTGTTTGGAAGTTTCCTGGTGACTGAAAGAAAAAATCTTCTGAATAAACTCCTTCATGTACGCTTCCTGTCTGTATCGATATACTTTATGCACCTTCTCAATATGTAAGCCTTGACTCTTAAGGAGACGTAAATGTTTCAAAGCAATTCTTCTTCTTCTTCTTCTTCTTCTTCTTCTTCTTCTTCTTCTTCTTCTTCTTCTTCTTCTTCTTCTTCTTCTTCTTCTTCTTCTTCTTCTTCTTCTTCTTCTTCTTCTTCTTCTTCTTCTTCTTCTTCTTCTTCTTCTTCTTCTTCTTCTTCTTCTTCTTCTTCTTCTTCTTCTTCTTCTTCTTCTTCTTCTTCTTCTTCTTCTTCTTCTTCTTCTTCTTCTTCTTCTTCTTCTTCTTCTTCTTCTTCTTCTTCTTCTTCTTCTTCTTCTTCTTCTTCTTCTTCTTCTTCTTCTTCTTCTTCTTCTTCTTCTTCTTCTTCTTCTTCTTCTTCTTCTTCTTCTTCTTCTTCTTCTTCTTCTTCTTCTTCTTCTTCTTCTTCTTCTTCTTCTTCTTCTTCTTCTTCTTCTTCTTCTTCTTCTTCTTCTTCTTCTTCTTCTTCTTCTTCTTCTTCTTCTTCTTCTTCTTCTTCTTCTTCTTCTTCTTCTTCTTCTTCTTCTTCTTCTTCTTCTTCTTCTTCTTCTTCTTCTTCTTCTTCTTCTTCTTCTTCTTCTTCTTCTTCTTCTTCTTCTTCTTCTTCTTCTTCTTCTTCTTCTTCTTCTTCTTCTTCTTCTTCTTCTTCTTCTTCTTCTTCTTCTTCTTCTTCTTCTTCTTCTTCTTCTTCTTCTTCTTCTTCTTCTTCTTCTTCTTCTTCTTCTTCTTCTTCTTCTTCTTCTTCTTCTTCTTCTTCTTCTTCTTCTTCTTCTTCTTCTTCTTCTTCTTCTTCTTCTTCTTCTTCTTCTTCTTCTTCTTCTTCTTCTTCTTCTTCTTCTTCTTCTTCTTCTTCTTCTTCTTCTTCTTCTTCTTCTTCTTCTTCTTCTTCTTCTTCTTCTTCTTCTTCTTCTTCTTCTTCTTCTTCTTCTTCTTCTTCTTCTTCTTCTTCTTCTTCTTCTTCTTCTTCTTCTTCTTCTTCTTCTTCTTCTTCTTCTTCTTCTTCTTCTTCTTCTTCTTCTTCTTCTTCTTCTTCTTCTTCTTCTTCTTCTTCTTCTTCTTCTTCTTCTTCTTCTTCTTCTTCTTCTTCTTCTTCTTCTTCTTCTTCTTCTTCTTCTTCTTCTTCTTCTTCTTCTTCTTCTTCTTCTTCTTCTTCTTCTTCTTCTTCTTCTTCTTCTTCTTCTTCTTCTTCTTCTTCTTCTTCTTCTTCTTCTTCTTCTTCTTCTTCTTCTTCTTCTTCTTCTTCTTCTTCTTCTTCTTCTTCTTCTTCTTCTTCTTCTTCTTCTTCTTCTTCTTCTTCTTCTTCTTCTTCTTCTTCTTCTTCTTCTTCTTCTTCTTCTTCTTCTTCTTCTTCTTCTTCTTCTTCTTCTTCTTCTTCTTCTTCTTCTTCTTCTTCTTCTTCTTCTTCTTCTTCTTCTTCTTCTTCTTCTTCTTCTTCTTCTTCTTCTTCTTCTTCTTCTTCTTCTTCTTCTTCTTCTTCTTCTTCTTCTTCTTCTTCTTCTTCTTCTTCTTCTTCTTCTTCTTCTTCTTCTTCTTCTTCTTCTTCTTCTTCTTCTTCTTCTTCTTCTTCTTCTTCTTCTTCTTCTTCTTCTTCTTCTTCTTCTTCTTCTTCTTCTTCTTCTTCTTCTTCTTCTTCTTCTTCTTCTTCTTCTTCTTCTTCTTCTTCTTCTTCTTCTTCTTCTTCTTCTTCTTCTTCTTCTTCTTCTTCTTCTTCTTCTTCTTCTTCTTCTTCTTCTTCTTCTTCTTCTTCTTCTTCTTCTTCTTCTTCTTCTTCTTCTTCTTCTTCTTCTTCTTCTTCTTCTTCTTCTTCTTCTTCTTCTTCTTCTTCTTCTTCTTCTTCTTCTTCTTCTTCTTCTTCTTCTTCTTCTTCTTCTTCTTCTTCTTCTTCTTCTTCTTCTTCTTCTTCTTCTTCTTCTTCTTCTTCTTCTTCTTCTTCTTCTTCTTCTTCTTCTTCTTCTTCTTCTTCTTCTTCTTCTTCTTCTTCTTCTTCTTCTTCTTCTTCTTCTTCTTCTTCTTCTTCTTCTTCTTCTTCTATTTTTTTTACTTTAGAGAGATATTTCATTTTCTGATAGTCAAGCAATGAACGGGAATAGGGGGAAAGATGGCTTTGCTTAATGTTCATGGGAGCTATCACGAGAGGGAAGTCATCTGTAGCTATAGCCACATCCGGCTTTACCATTATGTCTACTAATACCCAGTAACCATAGTCACCCTCAAGGTTAACGGTCCATAGGGAGTCGTTTGTCTCCTCGCTAGGCAATTCCTCAATATCCGAAACAGGTAACTTCATCGTCATACAGTAACTATAGAGAGCATTAAAATTTAGATATAAAATGAACTCTTTTTCTTTTGCCTCTAAATACGGCCTCATCACACCACAAAAGCCTCCCCTGATATTTTGTGAAATTATGGATGACAAAGCAGGTTTGGATATAAGGCTAATTTCCACTTTGGAAAATTTAAGGAAGCTTTCATACGCAAGTTCTGGCAGACTTACAAAGTGGGAGGGGTCTAGGTTAAATTTTTGTTGAATGTTCTGGCGGAAATCTTCAAAGATATATGCTAGTAAACCCACATTCAACTTGAGACACACACACAGATAGTCCCCCAAGTGTGAGCAATCGTAAGCCTTCCATACTGTCTGGCAATATTCATACTCGGTCTGTGAAACATTTTCCCCTGTTAGAGAGTTGAAGAAGGCTTTGCGCGGAGGTAGACACGGCTCATCTAGAGAGGACAGTCTGTTAATGTGACTGTAGGGAAGAGGCTGCTTCATGGTGGTCAACAAATCTATCGTTTCCGTGGAATATCCAGAGAAGAGAGACTTTATATACTCGAGCTGACCTGATGAACTGATATATGTCTTGGCTAGCGAGGCGAGACTGGACGAAAGGAAAGAGTACGAGTCTATAAAGGACAAGTTGTCAATTCTAACCTTACTAAATTTAAATGTGGAGGATTTAGTAGAAATCGAGATAACCTTTGGCCTTGCCTCCTTTAATAATATCCCCATTTGGTAACTAGAATTATGACCAATTACAGTCAGTTGACAAACATCATCCCTTTGTTTGAGATTACAATTTCTGCAAAGAGCAGTTAGATAGTTTTCATGTTCTAAGTCATGACGATGATGTCGTACTTTGTTTTCAGGAATCGTGAAAGCTTCTCCACAACTTGCACACGCTGTTGCATGTTTAAATGCCCTCTCCGCCTTGGAAGTCATATCCAGGGGGAACTTAATTTTAGTATCCCTAATGTGATCCCATTTATCGGAAAGGGATCTCAGAAAGCGTGTTGCTGCATTTGGGCCTCTATAAACGTCTGACTCTGTGACTGACCCGTCCCGAGCTATAATAATATAACAATACGCTATAACCTTCTGATCACCTGAGACAGGGCCTAAAACATTGTCAGAGGACAGGCCACATTCAAGATGAAAATAAGCCACGTGAGATGGAGGGTATGATTTTCCGTAACTTTGAAATCTTAATGTGTTACCAGGAGATGGATACATTTCACTGGCATTATTAACACAGACGGTGTGATTGTTCACATTAGTATCTTGTAAACATAGAAGACATGTTTTCTTTTTGCAAAATGCATATCGAAATTTTTGTATGTCGCGAATTAGCAATACATGACATTCATTCATTTTCATCAAAAGAGAGATATTATTCACCCCTGGAATTGCACGACCGCGGCGCACAAGTGACAGCGTATGTCTCTTTCCTACCATATATCGCTCTTTGTGATTTAATTCATTTTGCTCGTCATTTAGTTCAAACATAACATAAATGTCTAGGCTTACTTTATTTGCTTCTTCGATTAACCTCAAGGTTTCCCAGCTTATCGTTGAAGTATTTGGGGGTATGATAACATAAGTAGAAAGTCGTTTTAGTGAGCTCAGTAATTTGTTTATCCGGGATGATTGAATATGTTTACCCTCTTTCCTCAAAATAGTGTCTGCAGCTATGCATTTTACCACACACATACCCTTGGTTTCCGGAGAGTCTTTAGGGTCGAACAGATAGGATTTACCTGCGAATTTCGGAGTAATTTCATTGGATCCACATAGAACCTGGGGAATCATCATTTGATAAATACAAACATCAATGAAATTTACTTTATCGACGGAATACCCTGAGCCTTCTGATTCTTCTAATTTCGCTCTACGTCCTCTCAAGTTGGCTAACCATGCGTCTATGATTTCGTCTAGATCATCATTAGTATTGTGAATGAGACGAAACTCTGAATTTAGGTAGAATACTTTTGCTTCTCCCTGCTCATTTAGATTAAATGTAGGTCTGGACATGACAATATCAATTGCAATGCAAGCTTTGATAGAAGGAGACTGACCGATTCTCGCCTTTAGTTCCCCTCTAATTATTTGTTCAATATAACCACGGCATTTTGCAAAAGCTAATTCAATATTCATACCGAAAGAATCGGAGACATGAATGCGGAGTTTCTTATATAGTGGCCCATAAGCTTGAGCAACAAGGGAAACGAGGGAAGGGGAGGGGGGGAGAGAACAGTCCTGGTTACTCGGCTCCGCAGTATTGTCTTCGACGTGTTCGTAACTGTGTGGTTCGCCTAGCTCCCTCTGCCGCTCACCACTCCCTCCATTAACCTCGTTTTTGTTCTCTTCGTCATCTTCTCCTCCTCTTCTTTGCTCTTCTTCCATTTTACCTGCCCTAGACCTGGGCACGGCTGCGTCGATATTATCGAGGACATCGCTAGATGACTTTGACCATAACTCTGCATCAAGAAAAAGTTATCATTATTTTGTTGTTTTGATTAAATTTGCCTTATGTCTGTATCTAAGAAATAGATATAGAATCAATCTTAGCTGATGCTAAAGACTTTTCTTTTTGTTCTTGATCTGGTTATTATTATTATCATCTATATATTTTTTAATCAATGCTTTAATTTTCCGAAGAACTAGACATAGAATCAGTCTAACCTGAGGGTGTTGATTTATCCTTCTAAACAAGAAAGTAATATAATCATTATCATGGTTATCATT